CCTCAAATATATTTAAGGAGCAAATGATACATGTCTTACTATAGAAACATCAAGTTGTCCTTAAAAATAATGAAGAAAGTGCTATCTTGGTTAGAAAACTCAGACTTGTACATATGCTTCCCACAGTCAGATAAGTCACAATAAGCAACAAAAAGATGTAAAAAGTTATTAAAATCAATATGATGTAATTATAACCAGCCTATAGGTTTTTTCACTCCATTTCCCATATTTAAAAAGTTTGTAGATATGCATCTTAAAAAACCCACCACCACACAAACCAACGCAATTCCAAGTGAGAATCTGCCCAAATGGCAAACAAATCGTAGCAGTCATCTTTTCATTAAGAAAACTAAAATAGTGGCCAAACTCAGCAACTTGGGCAGCACTACAGTATTTCAGCAAGTCCAGGAATACTCAGTCCCAAAACATGCTGGTATAAAAATGATTTAAACCAAAGCCTGTTCTTGGATCATGACACGACTGCAATGAAGTTGGTTGGTGCTTGCCTTTAAAGTGATATCAGTTGATAGTCTCCAGCCTCATATACTAGTAATATTAACGATTTAAAAAAAAATCAAATCAAGAACGCTGTCAACCAACAAGAAGCAGTCTGTATGCACCATACTACAAAACGATACGAGGGATCTCGGCTGCATAATCACACCACATTTTAATTACTTTTTCTGTGAACATACATGCAAACGGTACCTTAAACTGCAATACTCATGTGCTTAGCAGATGCTGGCAGCCCACCCTGCGCCGTGTCACGTTCAGATCCCATCCTGCAGTCAGGAACTCCAGGCCCAGCAGAGCACCCGCACGGTGAGACGGGGAGGGAGCTGGACAGGGTGCCAAGCAGGAGGCCGGCGGAGAGGGATGTGGAACAGTGCAGCCAGCGGAAAGGGCACTCTGCATCCGCATCCCCAGGAGACACGAACAGGATCAGAAACCAGCAACAGGGATAAAGAAGGATCTGAAGACTGGAAAAGGCTGTAAAGCTTAAAAGCAGTATGCATGTGACTTCACTGCTATTTTTCTTTACACTCAGTTTTCAGTTCCAAGCATAAGAGTACACCCCAAGCTTTGTACAAAACCAACATTCATGTTTCAACCTAGAAAATTCAGGAACTACCTATCAATTTGGCAACCATTTTGTTTTCACATGAAAAGAGATCAAAATTCAGGTGCTATATAGGAATGACAGAATGAACACAAGAAACTCTTCATCTCTATCAGGAATTCAGCAACATCAGTGGCAAACAAACCATTTCTGCAAACTGGATCTTCGGTAGTTTCATAGTGCCTAGCACTTACTACACAGACATCGTCAGCTTCTGAGGGCCTTGATTTCAGTATTACCACCTATCAGGTACCAGAAGAATGCTTAAAATCCGTATCAGTCAGTAGTGGCTACGACTTATCAGAAAAATGCCTGTCTTGTTTTTTACTCCACATTGTTCTGTTTGTAAAATGTCCTCTTGGACATTAAAATCTTCCATTACTAAGTCAACTGCTACAGGACAGTGGAATTATTATATATAATACCAAGTATAGCAGATTGTCTTTGAAAAGAAGGCTCAGATCCGAAAGTGTAAAATTATTAATGCTAGAAAAATATGACAGACTAATGTTTCTGGAAAAAATGACTTACTGCACTGAGAATTCTTTTTTTCCCCATGAAAACACACAAGGCTACAGTAAGATAGCCAAAAATACCAGACTTGTCAACCTGGAAATAGCATAATCTTAAAGAGCACGAACCATGGTCCTTGTTTCCATTTCAGGTACAACCACCAGGAACAACTCTTTTTAGTATTTGGAAAGGCAAAAGTTATCTCACCAATCACTTTAATAAAAGTTATTACAACCTATTAAAATCAAGGAGATTTAAGCTTTCACAAACAATTTAGGGATTTTAGTTTTTCCCGACACATTATTTGGAAGATAAAAAACTTCAACCATTGCTTCTATCACCGGCATCTTCCCTCAGCTGCCTGTTGTTTCAGTGATTATGAACATGAGTAGCATCATGTAATGTGTCCTTACTCTCAACAGTATGAAGAGACCAAGAATTGAAGTTAAATCTAATATTTTGACTGAAATAACTTCCACAAGATATGTGCAACAAAATATCCAGCTTGTTTTGGAAGCAAGTCTCTTCACAACAGCTTTGCCTTTTACATCTAGCATTTTTCTGTCTGTTTGGTAAGATGCAAGTATAAGGGAAGTCTAACATCTACAGTTATGCAAGTACACAAACCCCCCACATACAGCACTAGTAAATAATCAGACTGCATACAAGATATTTGTAAAAGTAATAAAACCCTTTGATGCTCCATATTTATGCTGGCAAATACCTCTCCTGATATAAAAGGCACTTTGAAAACCCAATATGGTTTGGTTCATTAAGTTTGCAAAGTGCAAACAATTGTACAAACATACAATTATATTGAAGCATGTCAGCCATTGTGACATTATCTACAAAACAAGTTTCCAATTGTTGGTAACACTGGTTTTATGGGAATGAGCAGTGGTTTCAGCAGCTTTACTGAAGACATGACAGGGTTTCCAGTACCACAATCTTAGTAAGTAAAAAACCCTCAAAAACGTACAAGTTTTAGGGGCCACAAAAAGACAAGACCCAAAGTCCATAACATTCATTCAATATTTACTCCTTAGAAGTGAACTCCATCCATAGCCCATGGGCAGAAATCTATTCAGTCAATTCCAGAACAGTGGTGGAGGCAAGCTCCGTCTTGAGCAGTACGTTGGTACACCGTTACAGTACAGAAAACTTTGGTCCAACAGCACAATTTCAGAAATTCACTACATCGCTGCGACATCAATCTGTATGTAAAGCTGTCTTACTCCTGCCTACGGAAAAGAAAAGAAGAGTTAAATTGTAAAACCAAAGCAATTTAACTGTCCTGAACACCAGTCCACATCACCAAGTTAGCTAAAAAAAAAAATTCAGTATCTGAGTTTTCTGTAATTCATCTTCCACATTTAGCACATCATTCACTGAGATACTGGCCGTTTGGAAACCTACAAACTATGAATACCTAGTGCTTCACACAGCCAAGTGCACATACGTAGTTATATATTAACATTAGCTTTGCTACATTTTCTGATTCAGCCTAAATAACTGTCACAACATGAAGCTGCATAAAAGCAATTCCAACTTTCTTTTGTACAAATTAAACTTCCTGGAAAGCAAGCTGCTTGAAGAGCTGTCAGTTTAAAATGGAGCTAAGCACAAGAGCGTAACATGGGATTTGTTGTTCGAACCAGTTCTACACTAAGATTTTTGCAAGAAACAACAATGGCTACAGTGAATTTACATGACATTATGACACACCAAACTAAAAAGGTACATGAATTGTACAAACGCATTTCTCTCCTCAGAAATCCTATTAAACTATGCTCAGATGGACTTGCTTAGTTTTATCATCATTCAGTATAAAACAGCATTAAAAAAAAAAATTTAGTTACTCATTTTAACCTCAGTTGCAGACCTGCAATGATGTTGTGATGGTCACTGGTTATGCAACGTGATCTTGAAGCATTAGGCTGAACACTGCTAAAGATCAGATTGTCTTCAACTATCATCACCTTGTTTTTAGCTCAGTTGAGTGGCAAAACCAACTGTCAATTATATTAAGATTAATGAGGACCAATATTACTGAGAAGAAAAAAAACAAATCTCTACTTGCTCCAACAGTTCCTCCACTTAATACCATAGGTCAGGTAAGAAAAACTGTAGACCTTGTTCTCCCAATCCCGTTCCTAGACACGGCCCGATACCTGCGCAGCTACAAAACAGCAGAAGATCTAACGACGCTTGGAAAATGCAATCCTTTGGTGACTCGAGATGTAAAATTAGTTTTAATGCAATGGAATGTTCTGCATAGTCCTTCCCCAAAAAAAGTTCTCTTATTGGAGAAAACTTTTCTTCTATTTTATGTTAATAGACTCTAGGTTCTACTTGTAAACCATTCAGATCCAGTAGCTATACTGGAATAGGCAGCCAAACTGAATTTCATGTTTCATGGTTAAAAGTATAAGGAAGCAACAGAAAAATCTTTCTGAAATTTGTAAGATCTGAGTCTTAGGCAAGAACTATCAACTTCTAATAAAGTTTCAGTTGTTCACAAGAATTCCAGTGTTTCATATCAGCTACAAGCGCTATCAATTACATCACTATCTATACAAAAAATACAACCTGTATGGAAATAAACGGTAACACACTGGTCATATACAACATCATAATTGACAGCTACATTTTAACTAGTGATCATCATAGCACAGATGTTACTAAAAGGCAACAAGATATGCAGACCATGGATTCTTAGAGGGATAGAAGTGAATGACAAATACAGCATCAGCACAGTGAAAAAAACCTGAGCAGGTCCAGTCTGTGGTCGGAAGCCCTATCCCAAGGGAAGCCTCAGCTACTTTCTTGGTTCCTCATAGGTCAATATAGGGTTACAACTTAATCTGATACACCTCAGACAACTACAGCTGTTATTTCCATTAAGTGGCATCAAAAACTAATGCAGAGAGGTACAGTAATTCCATCTACACTACTGAGTATCTTGAAATTTTCTATACAGCTGGACCGAAGCAGCTTTTCAAAACACAATGATACCAAAACCAGAAACATTTAGTTGTTCTTGTTAAGAACTATAATGTCACATCATGTGACAGCCAATTTACACTTTGAGATGTGTTTTCCATTGATGAGACATACCTGAGTAAAAATATTGTGAGTCTGGCTTAGAATCCACCTTCCATCAGCATCAGGAGCTACTAATAATTTCAAAGTCCCTATGTAAACATCAGTACAGAGGGTCCAGAAATGCGGATCATGTAAACTGTAAACTCCTTGCAACTGCTGCACCTAAAAATACAGGCAAATTTTAAAAAATAAATTTCAAAAAGTGTTTGTCTGTACTATGTTTTGTTTGGCTTGGTTTTTTGTTGTTTTTTGTTTACAAAAAATGTTATAAAAGACAATGCATTCTTTTACTTCTAGTTCACTGTGCAATTAGTGATACTTCACTTAAATTTCTTATTACTATCTCAGTAATCGTAAGGAAGGTGAATACATACAAATTGTATGTATGTGTCATGATTTTGTATCTTGCTGCAATTACATTCTACATATATTTTACTGAAACCATTTCTGAAAACAGTGGTGTCCAAGAGAAAAATCACAGTTATTAAATTTGAGAGGGCATTCAAGTAAAGCAGAGATTTTTTTCAAATGCAGGAATTTCCCCATAAAACAATTTTTTCTAGATTCTAAGTATTAACATAAATATATCAATACATTAATATTTACGTAGATATTTCTGAGGGCTTACATTTGTCCTGTCAAAACCCTTCTTTTTCCTCTGTCCAATTTTAGTAAACCCTCCTGTAACTTCCCGAGGAAAGATGGCACTCCTACAAGCACTTTGTATTAACTTCACAAAGGCACTTCAGTGTTCAGGTCATGACACAGTAATACATGTCCTTGCTCACTGCAGGGGGGTGGGACTAGATGACCTTTAAGGGTCTCTTCCAACCCAAACTATTCTATGATCCTGTAAGTTAAACAGGAGTACCAGGAGAGGTCAAATCCAGAGTAATCTACATATTCTTATAAATACACTTCCAGTGTTACTCCACGTCGCTTTACCAAGCTAGATTTTGAGGGAGACAAAAACTGAACAGAACAGAAAAACGTTACGCACTTTGTATCAGCAAAAGTACTTTGAGAGGAAAAGCTGCAGGATCTATGTTTCTAAACCAACATAGCACATTTTAAAACGCATACTGAGTTGAAGCTACATACAATTTAGGACTTCAGAAATATAAGAATCAAACTGGTACCTCCAGATTTGTATAATCTAAGGAACCTTTCACAGGCATTACTGGAAAAACATCACAAAATATCCTCATACACAGAGCTGAGGCTCATTCAGTCAGCAGCTTGATCTGAAGCAAAAACAGCCTAAGAGCTCACCCTCTGGTAGCACTGAGGCAGGGTGTTTTCCAGGGAAGGAGGAGTTCGCTGCATCAAAATTCCAATGGATTCTTTTAAAAGTGGAACAATACTGGAAAGAAAAAAGGAAGGTAGTTACTATTACATTTTCAAAAGATGCAGAACAAAGAGCAACATAACATCCCTTAATGGTCTTGAAGAATTTTTCTTTAGTTGTTTCATCAGAAGCTGAGAAAGTTGTCATGAAAACCTGGTACAGAAAATAAAAGGATTGACAAAATTGCTATGTTGTCTTACTAAAGGCAAGATTATTGCTCCCCAAGATTTTCCACAGAGACAACTGGTGGACAATCACAAAGGATTAACAGTTTAATCATGGAATTTGAGACGAAATCTCTTAGTGTCTTAAAAGTTATATGACAAAGAAGCTGATCAGTATAGCTCAAAACCTACTTCAATGGCAATCACTCACAACCAACCATAAAAATATGCAACTGAAATGGTTTTTGCTTTTGTGTTTGGCTTAAGGCATATTTTTCTTATGAACTAAGATAATAATGAGGCAGTCATAAAACCAAATTAGTATGGACCAGTCCAGCTATAACAAGGTTATTTTGTCAGAAACAGACAACTTAGCATATTCTTGAAGTAAACTAAATGTAGGGTCTCGTCCAGGCTCAAGGATTAAACATTTGGAACCAATTAGAGGTTCCCTCCTGGCCAAATGATCTTGTTTAATCAGCAAACTAAGACGATACTTAATATCCTTTATTATTATTATTACTTCCTTTTTTTTTTTTTTTGTTAAATAAAACCAGGAGACCTGTAAGCCTATACCCTGAAGCTACCACTAAAAATTTATACTAAGTATTCAGTATGGTGATTTTTTGTTTAGGAGTAGTACTGTGGCTCGTGTCTGGCTCTGTAGAGCATCCTAAGACTCTAGACGAAAAGTGATGATGTATTTCAGAAATTGCAAGCTGAATTTCAGTGTTCAGCACTGGCATCACAGCTAGAGTACATGGAGTGACAGGATAAAATGCATCCAGAAAATATTTGTAAGAGATTAGTTGGGCCGTCTGTTAAGAGGAAACCACAGAAGCTCCCTTTAAAATCTCATGAAGTGACATAGAACGCACTGCACAGACCAGCTGTATATTTGCCAACGGTGAACAGCATGACCTAACCAATTCTTTCCATTTTTAAAAAGAAACGGTTCCATTTGTACATGGAAGCAGTGCTGGCTGATCGACTGCTCAGCTCACTCCTTGCCTAATCCTTAGCCAGGGGATTAGGGACGGAGCTAAGAGGGTGCATGACTCTTGTCTAACGAACCCCTGGAAAAACAGCCACCCTAAAATTAAGTATTCTTGCAGGCACACTGGTTATTCCAGACAAATTCACTGCCTGCTGCACTCCATCACGTGGCCTCACACAGTTGCTCTGCTACTGAGGAATCAGTTCAGAAACAGGAAGCAGCAATTAGGAGCAGGCAGGAGTTGCCTAAACTGGACCTGTCACCAAGACAATTAAACATTTAGCAATGCAATAACTGTCAATCTGTCTAAAGGAAGCTTAATTGGAATGTCACATTCTACAGACAGTGGATTACAGACGTTTAGGGAAAAAGGTTCTCTTGTCAATGGACCCATCTCACTAAATAATGTACATGTCACAAGTATGACATCAAAGGGAACTGGAGCTGCCAAAATACTCCATTGCTGAATTGATTTCAGTTTAACTCACTATTTAAAATTCAGGTTTGCTTCTTAATAAAAACCTTGAAAGACCAATACACAAGTTCAGGGTGCAAACTGAATACAAGATTTTTGAACACTGACTCCATTCCCATAAATTTAACATGACCCTTCCAACATAGCATCCAAAGTCTTCAGAAAACACACATGTACAGGCTGCATATTTTTTTCCCCAGGGAAAGGACTAAAGGAAGGGGGAATGTAGGAGCTTGCCTTTTTATTGGAACATGTCACTAAGAGTGAAAAAAATCCATGAAATATATCTAACCAAAAAAATGTTGGATTTGCACAACTTATGTACATTATTTGATAAAACTGATGCCCATTATCTGATGGAGTGGAAATTAATTGGCAAGCAGGAGATTTGGAAAGACAGCCTACAGAGATGCAAGACTAGCAGGTTGGGCATGCTAACCCATTCCAAAAAGGGATTTGGTCAGTGAAACTGGAACAAGATGAATACACACTGAAAAGAGGAAGTTAAAACCCTGTTAGAGAGCTCTTCAGCTGAAGATGCATTTAAAACAAAGATCTGCTTCATTCTGAAAACCTTGTTGCCTAAAAAACTGATCTTCCAAGGTTAAGTCTAGGCAATCAGCAGGGTCTGTACAAGCGCCAAAGACTCTCTCTCCTTGCCAGGCAATGGGGTGCAGTTTTAAGCAGCATGTATCAGAACCAGTAGCTCAAAATATACAAAAAAGAGAGTGGGGAAAGACACTCCACTCCTAGTACAGGTGGTACAGCTTAGGAGGTAGTCTCCCTGCTGGCAAGATTTCACCTATTCATGTTTTTGTAATGGCTCCACACGAAAGCTTTAAGAGAGAAAGCTCCTGTGCAAGTTTTTTGGCAATAATGCCGCACAAGTTATGCTTTTATCCAGACTTCACAAAAAATCTAAAGCCATGGTGTTGAACTGAAACAGCAACATCTTATCTTAGTTGTCCAGAGAATAGGGGTAAATCAGGATGTGGCTTGATACTGTAGGTGAAAGTTGGAAGCATATCCCAGGTCACACCTCCCTCCTCTAAATTCAGCTACAAATTTATCTTCTGCAAAGCTGTAAAGGCCAAAAGACAGCTGCAGTGATGTGATATGCCCTCACAAATGCTGTTAGAGCACAGAGGCCCACGCACGTGTCTCTGCATCCAAACGGACACTATCTTACAACGTAGTCTTTAATTGTAAGCCGAACTAACATGACACACTATGGAATCCAGTTTTCTGATGTCTCAGGTTTTCCATTGTTTCATGCATACTACTGAAGTACAAAACCTTTAATTAAAAACCAAGAGCATACTGTGTGGAGTTTTTCCTCAAACACTTAACTAAAAAGCAGTATTACTTAATCACCAGGCGGCACTAGAAATAATAGTTCCATCTCATGTGACTGAAGGAAACACTAGGAAAGATGATGATACCAAGCAGGCTGAAAATGTGGTTTGAGAATTTGACTAAGCTTTCCTTTTTCTGGATTAGTCATTAGTGCAAAATACATGTGGTTGTCTCTGCAGCAACTATTGCACTGGTACTTCCTCCCCCTCTTTTTTTTTTATTTACAAAAAGATTATTGAGGAAAATAAGTAATGCTGAATTCTCACCATGTGGGGAGTTTTTTCATGCGTAAGCAGTCTGTAAGCTTTGCTGCTAAATCAGACACAATTTTCCAATGGTGTCTGATTACCAAGACTTGAATGTAAAATATCACACTTTTACAAGACAACGGAATTTGAAAGAGGCGCTAACCCACAGCAAGACTTAGGACATAAACATATCCTCTGCAAAATTTGTACCAGCAAAAGCAGCTAGATGTGTGTAAAATGAGTTGGCAGCACATCACACCTTCACATACAGTGTTACAGGGAAGGGAAAGGTGTTCAAAAAGATAAAAGCCATTGATTGACATGAATCTGATAAACCCAGCCTGCCACTACTACACGTGGCTTGATTAGAAATTAAGAGTGAAAGCATCAAACTCTTAATCAACTTGCATCACATTCAGACAATACTCATACCCATTCCAGTCCCATCCCATTTACGCCAGTGTTTTTGTAGTCATAGCTAGCAAGACTCTGGCATTGTCATGATCTTGGACAGCAAGGCTGAAAACACTGTGGGGTGAAGAACCCTTTTACACAGTCATTCTAGACAGAGCACAGCAGGAAATTCATTTAGTGCTCTCAGCACTATAGAAAATAGAGGATACTTGTGATAGATTTTGTGGAAAGTAAACAAACAGTGCCGAGACTCAAGACCAGCTATTCAGTTCTTCAAATACCATGGCTGAAAATCTACAGACAGATTAAAAAAAAAATTTTCCAGCCACCATCCACACCTGCAGTGCCAAGATAGTTAGCCTATTTCAGAACTTTAATAAAATTTTTCTATTAGGCAACGGCAATTTTAATCAGACTGCAGGCTTTGCTCAAGACCAGGATCACAGGTTTAACATTTACTTTTCCAATTTTAAAATTGTCTGTTCTCTTAATAATGTGGTACTTTGATTCTCAAGCAAGGCTGGCAGGTACCATTACCCTGTAAATAAAGGTAGTGCATGCCATTTAGCAATGATGGCTCAAAACACCACCAATGACAAGCATGGTAGTTTGGGGGAGATTTGCTATAGAACATTCCTTCTGAGTCTTAGTGAATGCAGCACTTCATTTTAAAAAGTTCTTTTTTTTATACTGTTATGACCCAAACGTTGCAGGCATGTCCTCCCCCAAAGCTCGCTCTTGTTGCTCAGGCTCAAACAGCTCAAGCAGCTCTAGACTTTATGTAAAAATGATGTAACCCATGGAAACAACTTCACTAAATGACTGAAGTAAATTGCCTCATTTCTTTAACCACTTAATATGTGGTCTGCATGCTCTATCCAGTCTAGTATCATATTTAGTCTATGGTGCCATTCTAGAAACATGTGGCTCTAATAGTGGTTTTGGACAAACTTCTTGCTTTAGACTGGAGCTGTGGCTTTTGCTTGATGACTAATTTCACATAGCTGATCAAAAAACTAAAATTGCTTCAACATTTCAGAATAAGGCCTAGAATACTAAGGCTAAAAAGATAAATGAACATTTAGTTTTAAATATTAAAAGCAGTTTAGGACTTGCGAAATTGTTTATTGATTCAAGTACATTAAATTATGAGGAAAAACAGCTTGGAAAAAACTTGATGAGTGTCAACCTGAACAGGAAAAGCCAAGCTTTGTTTTAAAAAAAAAAAAAACTTCAGACAAAATGCTACTAAACCAGACTTGTCTATTTTAAGCATGTCCTATTTATGCTTTATATTAAATGGACACTTGCATGAGATAGTACAGAAAGTAATTAAAGAAAGATTCATCAGATATTAGGGG